AGTCTCGAACCCCTCAAAGTCATTCATGAGGGTTGGATTCAACTTCTTCCAAACTCCTGTTAATATTGATATTTTGACCTCTTCCTGTGAATCACAAATGTTCTTAATGGCATCTAGGAATGATGAATCCTTTCCAGAAGGTTTTCCATTTACTTTGGCCAGACCCATCAGAGGAATCACTATTTGTGGCAGCTATATAGTCTTTCAAAAAAAGACTTAACAATTGAAATGACTCCTTGATCCCTGGGCTGCAGAATAGATGTTGTGTTGGCAGGCATGAAAATAATACTAATCTCATTGTACATCTCCATCAGAGCTCTTGGGTAACCAGGTGCATTGTCAGCAGTAATATTTTGAAAAGAATCTTTTTTTCTGAGCAGTAGGTCTCAACAGTGGGCTTAAAATACTCAGTAAACCATGTTGTGTAAGCAGATGTGCTGTCATCCAGGCTTTGTTGTTCCATTTACAGAGCACAGGCAGAAGAGATTTTGCATAGTTCTGAAGGGCCCTAGGATTTTTGGAATGGTAAATGAACATTGGTTTCAACTAAGAGTCACCAGCTACATTTTTCTTTGATAAGAGAGTCACCCTGTCCCTTAAAGCTTTGAAGTCAGGCACTGACTTCTGTAGCTATGAAAGTCCAGATGGCATCTTCTTTCAATATAAGGCTATTTTGACTGCATTGAAAATCTGTTGTATAGTGGAGCCACCTTCATTAATGATCTGAGCTAGATCTTCTGGATAACTTGCTGCCTCACCTTGCACTTTTCCGTTATGGATATGGCTTATTTCCTTAAATCCCATGAACCAACCTCTGTTAGCTTCAGACTTTTCCTTCTGCAGCTTCCCCACCCTTCTCAGCCTTAAGAGAATTGTTAAGAGTTGGGCCTTGCTCTGAATTAGACTTTGGCTTAAAGGAATGTTGTGGCTGGTTTGATCTATCTAGACCACTAAAACTTTCTTCATATCAGCAATAAAGCTCTTTCTTATCATTTGTGTGTTTCATGTGTGGTGGCATTTTTAATTACCTTCAAGAAATTTTCCTTTATTCACAAGTTGGCTCTTTGGTGCAAGAGGCCTAGTTTTTGACCTGTCTTGGCTTTTGACATGCGTTCCTCAATAAGCTTAATCATTTCTAGCTTTTGATTTAAAATGAGAGACGTGCGACTCTTCCTTTCACTCAAACAGAGACCATTGTAGGGTTCTTAAACTGGCCTAATTTCAGTTTTGTTGTGTCTCAGGAAACAGGGCCTGAGGAGGAGGGAGAGAGGGGGACGGCCAGTCAGTAAAGCGGTCAGTACACACACAATATTTATTAAGGTCGCTGTCTTATTTGGGTACAGTTCATGGTGTCCCAAAACAATTGCAGTAGTAACATCAAAGAGCACTGATCATCATAACAAATATAATAATGAAAAATTTTGAAATACTGTGAGAATTACCAAAATGTGACACACAGACACGAAGAGCAAATGTTGTTAGAAAAATGGTGCTGATAGACTTACTTCTGGCAGAGTTGCCTCAAACCTTCAATTTGTAAAAAATGCAGTTACTGGTGAAGCATAATATCTGTGAAATGCAATAAAGTGAAGTGCAGTAAAATGATGTGTGCCAGTATACAGGATAACAACAAGGAGATGTCACATACAGTTGCTAGAACAAAATAAAAGTTTCTCTCTTGAGGAACAAGTCCGGAGGTTAAGCTGCTCTGTTCTGTTCCATGATGTCATCCAGGATTCTCCTTTCATCTTTTAAGTTTTGCCAATCCCTTTGGTGGTGTTGTCTGTGTATTTGAACCTGGCTCTTAAGAGACAGAAAGAGGAAGTGGAGAGCAAGCAGCTTACTTATAAAGGCATGCTCTGGAAATTGCATATGTAACTTAGACTAACATCTCATTGGCCAGAGCTTAGTTCCAGACCACACTTGGCTGCCAAGGAGCCTCGCTTATTGGCTGTATGCCCAGGAAGTTCTGTTTCTAAAAAGAAGGGTAGAATTAGTAGTTTGCTTGTTTGGCATTGGTGTCACACAGTTGGTACATGTTGAATTTCTGGTCATAAATGCTATCCATCTTCCAACTTGTGCTGTTAATTATTTAAATGCATTACGAACAGTAGCATTTATGAACGTTTTTTACACAAGTGATACACAGATACTGTTAATCGACTTTGCTCTTTCTACTATTTTTCTTTGGGCACAGTTTAATGTCTCATTATTTCATTCTTTCTAGACACAGGATAAATTATAAATTTATAATACATATTTTTAAATAAAAAATAATTCAAGTTTCCTCTTTTTAGGTTAACTTTCTCTTTCCGAATAGGAAAGGATGCTTTATATTTATTCATGTCACATATTAATTATCCCAGGTGTTTGCATTTTAAGTTGTCTTCAGGCTCAGTGCTATCAATTAAATTATTGCTAATTGTTTAAATTAGGTAACTTCAAGCACTGTGATATAAAAATATTCTGTCTTTGTAAAATTTAAAGTAGTGTGAATTCCTTCAAATTAATGATGCATTAAGAGTTGCATAATCTCAAAGCTAGCAAAAGTGGCACGTGGCAGTGTCCTTTTTCAGGATTAGTCTTGAGTTCTGTAAGCTTTAAATTGTGATGTGTCTCTAGGATAGTTCTCATATAAAATGCCACTATTCTGTATTTTTGAAAGTCTATCTTGGTAAAGAAACTTCTGATAATTGGGAATAGTTGGGGGGAGTGTTGTGGGGGGACTGATATTTATTATCTCTGAAAGCATGCCATTCTCAGAACTGGTATTGAAGGTTAATTAATCTGCTTTAGTTGTTTTAGGGTGCTTGGCCTAGAAAGGTTAGAATAATGCTTAGAAAAGCTTTCCTAAATAGAAAAGCTTTCCTTATCTTTGTATCCCATGATCATCATCTTTCCTGCTGTCTCCCCTGGCTTTTCATAGCATGATGATCATACAAATGAATGGAAGGTAACTCATAAAAATATATGAAAGGTGACTTTTGTCCTGAGTGGTTGCTGCTTAATGATCCTTTAAGGTGATCTTGGGAAAGATAAGGAAGTAAGAAATCCCTGATTTTTTCTTTGTGTATTGTGTATGAATAGGGGTGCCTATTAAATAGTCTACAGAAAAAAAAGTGGGTTCTGAAAATGCTGCTAGAGAACTAATAGTAAAAAACTGTAAGAAATGCTAGATTGTCATTTATGCCTTGTATTGAGGCAAAATAGGTGGTATTTAAAACAACAATTAAATCTTTTTTTAAAGATTTATTATTTTATTTTTATTTTTTTAAAAGATTTTTATTTATTTATTTGGCAGAGAGAGACACAGCCAGAGAGGGAACACAAGCAGGGGGAGTGAGAGAGGGAGAAGCAGGCTTCCCGCCGAGCAGGGAGCCTGATGTGGGGCTTGATCCTAGGACCCTGAGATCATGACCTGAGCTGAAGGCAGACGCTTAACGACTGAGCCACCCAGGCGCCCCTAAGATTTATTATTTTAGAGACAGAGTGTGCATGTGATGGGGACAGAGAGAGAGGGAGAGAGAGCATGTCACGCAGACTCTCTGCTGAGTATGGAGCCTGACTCTGAGATCATGACCTGAGCTGAAATCAAGAGTTGGTTGCTTAACCTCCTGAGCCACCCAGGCACCCCTATATTAGGCTTTTCAGTCTAATCCGCACCTTAACTAAGGTAGAGAATGCTTGGTTACTGATCCAAGGTGGAAATTCTGGTTAGAATTAAGCATTTTTAGTCTAGTCTTCTGTATGCACAGATCTGTCTTTATTCTTGAGAAACATTAGTTTTAAATCAGAAGGGGGAAGGGTGCCCGGGTGGCTCAAGTCTGCCTTTCAGCTCAGGTCATGATCCGGAGTCCCGGGATGGAGCCCCACATCGGGCTCCAGCCCCACAAGGGGCTCTCTGCTCAGCAGGGAGCCTGCTTCTCCCTCTGCCCCTCACCCCACTCATGCTCTCTCATTCTCTTCTCTCTCTCTCTCTCTCTCAAATAAAAGTCTTAAAAAAAAAAAAACTGGAGGTGGGAATATAAGAAAATACAAGAAATGACTTAGAAGAATAATATCAGATTGTGTCAAATCAATTGGTAGACTCCATTTGTTTTTTATTTGTTTGGTTTTTTAAATTTTATATTTAAATTCCAGTTAGCATACAGTGTAATATTAGTTTCAGGTCTACTAGTAGATTCCATTTGAATGCTAGGATTCTCTGGGCTACAGATTGGTATAAAATATGCCTTAAGTTCACTAGAGAGTTGATAGAAAATGTCTGTGTGCTTGCAAGTCACATTAGATTTCAGAAAAAAAAGATCATGAAGGGTGATCAGGAAGGCTTCCAGAAGAAAAGTCTTGAACTGATCTTTGAAAGATAAGATTTGGATTGACAGAAGAGGACATTTCAAGTAGGGCAGATTTAAGAGAAAAATCATTGCAGGTAGAAGTAAGTTTGGCATAAATTGGGTAGATAAAAAGATCAGTTTGCCTGGGATAGAGGATCTTATATGCAAGTAATTGGGAGGGAGATTGGGATTGCTAACAGTCAAGCCTGGTATCTGGCCTGATGTGAAGGTTTTCACTAGGGAGTACAAAATGAATATGGAAGATTAATCTGACCATTTTTTTTTTCCTCCTTTTCTCTGCCCTGCCAGTTTTACTGTTTATTTACTGATTTTTTTTTGTCCTAAAGATCACTTTGTTGTTGTTATTATTATTATTTTTAGTGTTTACAAAGTACAAAAATCATCATTCTCAGAGAAGTCTTCAGTGTTTCTTTGAGATTTTGGGATCATAGATTAACTTGCTCTTTGAAATTTGTTTGTGGCACTTATCACGTTAATGTGTCAGTGTGCTAGGGCAACTTTCTGTAACTGTGGACTTTATACAAGGTACTGAGCATTGAGTTCTTAGTATGTAGAAGAAATAGCAACAATGGAAACAATATTTTAATTTTTTAATTATATTATAGTGTACTTCAGTTCTTTCTCCCCCCTTTCGTTTTATCTCAGGTCAACAGGACATACTGCTGTGGCACCTACCGAGCAGGTCCCATGCGGCAGATAAGTCTTGTTGGAGCAGTAGATGAAGAAGTTGGTGATTATTTCCCAGAGTTCCTTGATATGTTAGAAGAATCACCATTTCTGAAAGTGAGTGTTAATTCCAATTATTAAAGTTCTGATCATTACTTTAGTGGACACTTTCTATTAAGAAGTATTAATATTAAATTAATCTTGTCTATTAAAATTAAATTTTATCCAGTGTTTTGAATAGAAATGTTTAGAAAATTATTGGTTCAGAATAACAGCAATAACAAAATTATTGCTTCAGAATTTTACATATAAATTACTCTCTAATATAGCATTTATTTCTTCATATGCATATACAAAATAAACTTCCTAGAGCTTTCTTTTGATTTGGGGTAGTAGAGAGGTTAACTTGTAAATAGACAAAAAAAATTTTTTTTTAATGTGACTCATTCATCTGACTTCTAGATGACTTTGCCCTGGGGTACGCTTTCCAGCCTCCGACTCCAGTGTAGGTCCCAGAGTGATGATGGGCCGATCATGTGGGTAAGGCCAGGAGAGCAGATGATCCCTACAGCAGATATGCCAAAGTCACCCTTCAAAAGACGACGGTAAACATTTATTTTTCCCAAATAAGGAAAAGCACTTTTTTTGGTTGCTTATAAAAATGATTGAGACCTGAGCACAGTTTGAAAACTATTTGTCTAGATTATTTGAAGAGCTATCTTAAGTAAATCTTCAGTGGTCAGTTTCTTAGTCCAGTCTACTCATTACATAGTCATCAGAGTGAGGCATCCTTCTAAAAAAAACAAATTTAATTTTTTCCTATTTTCTTAAAACCTGGGTCCTAACTGCCTGCAAGATTAAAGTCCAAATTCCTTTGTGTGGTTACAAGGATCTTTCATAATCTGGCCCCAACAGTACCTCTAGCTGGATCTGTTTCTAGTCTGTTCCAGCCATGCAGAGTTCAGTTTTCAAACTGTGATCTTTCACAGCTCTGTGCTTTTGTGCTGTTCATTTTACTTAGAATGGCATCCCCTCCCCCATCTTCCTCTCTACCTGACAAATTCTTAATAAATTTTCAAAAAAATAAACTTGGATGTCACTTCCTTTGTGAAGCTTTTCTTTGTTCCCATAGACAATTAATTATTCCCTTCTCTGTGTTCACACATCACTCTGTTCATTAATAACCTTGTTTACATGTTTTTGTTTTTTACTAAATTTTGAGTTCTCAGGACTGACTGTGTTTTATTCTCAATCTTCATGACCCATAGACAGGTGATTAGTAGTGTTTGCTGAATGAAACCAATAATGTATATCTCCTATAGTAATTCATATTGGGCTAACATATTTTGTGTTTCAGACACTTAAAACAAATGTAGATTAATTTATTCTGGTACTCTGAAAAAAATCTCATTTTAATAAGAGTGAAAATGATTTATATTTGCTTAGACTATGGAAGTAACCCCAAATAAGTATCCAGAAGTGAGTTTGTTTATTTATTTATTTTAAAAAGATTTTATTTATTAGAGAGAGAGAGCAAGAGAAAGCATGAGCAGGGGAGGGGAGAGGGAGAGCGAGAAGCAAACTCTCCGCTGAGGAGGGAGCCCTATGTGGGGCTTGATCCCAGGACCCTTAGCTTAACCGACTGAGCTACCCAGGCGCCTCCAGAAATGAGTTTTTTAAAAAAATTTTTATTGTTATGTTAATCAACATACATTACATCATTAGTTTTTGATGTAGTGTTCCATGATTCATTGTTTGTGCATAACACCCAGTGCTCCACGCAGAATGTGCCCTCGTTAATACCCATCACCAGGCTAACCCATCCCCCACCCGCCTCCCCTCTAGAACCCTCAGTTTGTTTTTCAGAGTCCATCGTTTCTCATGGTTCATCTCCCCGTCTGACTTACTCCCCTTCATTCTTCCCCTCCTGCTATCTTCTTTTTCTTTTTTCTTAACATATGTTGCATTATTTGTTTCAGAAGTACAGATCTGTGATTCAACAGTCTTGCACAATTCACAGCGCTCACCATAGCACATACACTCCCAAATGTCTATCACCCAGCCACCCCATCCCTCCCACCCCCCACCACTCCAGCAACCCTCGGTTTGTTTCCTGAGATTAAGAATTCCTCATATCAGTGAGGTCATATGATACATGTCTTTCTCTGATTGACTTATTTCACTCAGCATAACACCCTCCAGTTCCATCCACGTCGTTACAAATGGCAAGATCTCATTCCATTTGATGGCTGCGTAATATTCCATTGTGTATATATACCACCTCTTCTTTATCCATTCATCTGTCAATGGACATCTTGGCTCTTTCCACAGTTTGGCTATTGTGGACAGTGCTGCTGTAAACATTGGGGTGCACGTACCCCTTCTGATCCCTACATTTGTATCTTTGTGGTAAATACCCAGTAGTGCAATTGCTGGATCGTATGGTAGCTCTATTTCCAACTGTTTGAGGAACCTCCATACTGTTTTCCAGAGTGGCTGCACCAGCTTGCATTCCCACCAACAGTGTAGAAGGGTTCCCCTTTCTCCACATCCCCGCCAGCATCTGTCGTTTCCTGACTTGTTAATTTTAGCCATTCTGACTGGGGTGAGGTGGTATCTCATGGAGGTTTTGATTTGGATTTCCCTGATGCCGAGCGATGTTGAGCACTTCCTCATGTGTCTGTTGGCCATTTGGATGTCTTCTTTGGAAAAATGTCTGTTCATGTCTTCTGCCCATTTCTTGATTGGATTATTTGTTCTTTGGGTGTTGAGTTTGATAAGTTCTTTATAGATTTTGGATACTAGCCCTTTATCTGATATGTCATTTGCAAATATTTTCTCCCATTCTGTCGGTTGTCTTTTGGTTTTGTGGACTGTTTCTTTTGCTGTGCAAAAGCTCTTTATCTTGATGATATCCCAGTAGTTCATTTTTACCCTTGTTTCCCTTGCCTTTGGCGTTGTTTCTAAGAAGAAGGTGCTGCGGCTGAGGTCGAAGAGGTTGCTGCCTGTGTTCTCCTTTAGGATTTTGATGGACTCCTGTCTCACGTTTAGGTCTTTCAACCATTTGGAGTCTATCTTTATGTGTGGTGTAAGGAAATGGTCCAGTTTCATTCTTCTGCATGTGGCTGTCCAATTTTCCCAACACCATTTATTGAAGAGACTGTCTTTTTTCCATTGGACATTCTTTCCTGCTTTGTCAAAGATGAGTTGACCATAGAGTTGAGGGTCCATTTCTGGGCTCTCGATTCTGTTCCATTGATTTATGTGTCTGTTTTTGTGCCAGTACCATACTGTCTTGATGATGACAGCTTTGTAATAGAGCTGGGAGTCCTGGATTGTGATGCCGCCAGCTTTGCTTTTCTTTCTCAACATTCCTCTGGCTATTCAGGGTCTCTTCTGGTTCCATACAAATTTTAGGATTATTTGTTCCATTTCTTTGAAAAAAGTGGATGGTATTTTGATGGGGATTGCATTGAATGTGTAGATTGCTCTAGGTAGCATTGACATCTTCACAATGTTGGTTCTTCCAATCCATGAGCATGGAACGTTTTTCCATTTCTTTGTGTCTTCTTCAATTTGTTTCATGAGTATTTTATAGTTTTCTGAGTACAGATCCTTTGCCTCTTTGGTTAAATTTATTTCTAGGTATCCTATGGTTTTGGGTGCAATTGTAAATGGGATCGACTCCTTGATTTGTCTCTCTTCTGTCTTGTTGTTGGTGTGTACGAATGCCACTGATTTCTGTGCATTGATTTTATATCCTGCTACTTTACTGAATTCCTGTATGAGTTCTAGCAGTTTTGGGGTGGAGTTTTTTGGGTTTTCCACATACAGTATCATATCATCTGCAGAGAGTGAGAGTTTGACTTCCTCTTTGCCGATTTGGATGCCTTTGATTTCTTTTTGTTGTCTGATTGCTGTGGCTAGGACTTCTAATACTATGTTGAATAGCAGTGGTGAGAGTGGACATCCCTGCCGCGTTCCTGACCTTAGGGGGAAAGCTCTCAGTTTTTCCCCATTGAGAATGATATTCGCTGTAGGTTTTTCATAGATGGCTTTTATGATATTGAGGTATGTACCCTCTATCCCTATACTCTGAAGAGTTTTGATCAAGAAAGGATGCTGTACTTTGTCAAATGCTTTTTCTGCATCTATTGAGAGGATCATATGATTCTTGTTCTTTCTTTTGTTAATGTATTGTATCACGTTGATTGATGTGCGGATGTTGAACCAACCTTGCAGCCCAGGGATAAATCCCAGTTGGTCATGGTGAATAATCCTTTTAATGTACTGTTGGATCCTGTTGGCTAGTATTTTGGTGAGAATTTTTGCATCCATGTTCATCAAGGGTATTGGTCTATAATTCTCCTTTTTGATGAGGTCTTTGTCTGGTTTTGGGATCAAGGTAATGGTGGCCTCATAAAACGAGTTTGGAAGTTTTCCTTCCATTACTATTTTTTGGAACAGTTTCAGGAGAATAGGTATTAATTCTTTAAATGTTTGGCAGAATTCCCCTGGGAAGCCATCTGGCCCTGGGCTTTTGTTTGTTGGGAGGTTTTTGATGACTGCTTCAATTTCCTTAGTGGTTATAGGTCTGTTAGGTTTTCTATTTCTTCCTGGTTCAATTCTGGTAGTTGATACATCTCTAGGAATGCACCCATTTCTTCCAGGTTATCTAATTTGCTGGCATAGAGTTGCTCATAATATGTTCTTATAATTGTTTGTATTTCTTTGGTGTTGGTTGTGATCTCTCCTCTTTCATTCATGATTTTGTTGATTTGGGTCATTTCTCTTTTCTTTTTGTTAAATCTGGCCAGGGGCTTATCAGTCTTGTTAGTTCTTTCAAAGAATCAGCTCTTAGTTGCGTTGATCTGTTCTACTGTTGTTTTGGTTTCTATTTCATTGATTTCTGCTCTGATCTTTATTATTTCTCTTCTCCTGCTGGGTTTAGGCTTTATTTGCTGTTCTTTCTCCAGCTCCTTTAGGTGTAGGGTTAGGTTGTGTATTTGAGACCTTTCTTGTTTCTTGAGAAAGGCTTGTATTGCTATATACTTTCCTCTCAGGACTGCCTTTGCTGTATCCCAAAGAGTTTGAACAGTTGTGTTTTCATTTTCATTGGTTTCCATGAATTTTTTAAATTCTTCAATTTCCTGGCTGACCCATTCATTCTTTAGCAGGATGCTCTTTAGCCTCCATGTATTTGAGTTCTACCTGACTTTCCTCTTGTGATTGAGTTCTAGTTTCAAAGCATTGTGGTCTGAAAATATGCAGGGAATAATCCCAATCTTTTGGTACCGATTGAGACCTGATTTGTGACCTAGGATGTGATCAATTCTGGAGAATGTTCCATGGGCACTAGAGAAGAGTGTGTATTCCGTTGCTTTGGGATGGAATGTTCTGAATATGTCTGTGAAGTCCATTTGGTCCACTGTGCCATTTAAAGTCTTTATTTCCTTGTTGATCTTTTGCTTAGATGATCTGTCCATTTCAGTCAGGGGGGTGTTAAAGTCCCCCACTATTATTGTATTGTTGTCAATGTGTTTCTTCGTTTTTGTTAATAATTGCCTTATATAATTGGCTGCTCCCATGTTAGGGGCATAGATAT